CTTCGGTTGCCAGTGGACCTGATAAAAGGACGCTCACCTTAAAAAGAGTTGCCTTAAAATGTGCCATAGTTCGTGAAAGTGTTATCTGTATTGATGGATGATATTCATCATCAAGTGCGTTCGAACTTAAAAACGTCTGCTGATTCCATGAAGCTATGTTATGATATGAAATCTACCAAAGTCAGCTTTGTACCAAGGTGTGGTTGTATAATACCAGGAAGACAAAAGGGAAGTTTCCTAAGTTGTCTTCTCCATGGGAAGACCCATATGACATAGCAGGTCGTCTCTCAGACGTGACTTACCGAATAAAATGTGATCGGCTAGATAAGCTGAAGGTGGCGCATGCCAACAGGTTTTAGCATTATCACGGTCCATGACATTTCAGTTGGAATGAAATAAACAACAGAACAAATGAAGCTGCTGAAGACTTGTCATCTGAAAAAGCCAATGTCGAAGAAGAAACTCTACCCGGTTTTGAGAAGGAAAACAGTGAAGCCGTTAATGAAGTTACCACCACTAATGTGACTGGTACCAATAATGAGACATTTCCTGATGGAGCAGATGAACCCGACGTGAAGCAGAAGCCAATGAGACAGAGACCAGTACGAAAGAAGAAACGTCCTGTAAAATTAAGAGACTTTGCTGTATTCTAATTTTGTGTTTGTAAATTCTTAAGACAATGCTATCTTCAAGACTTGGAGGGATTTGACTCTTCACAGAACGTCATCTTCAAGTATTAATAATTTAAGGTATTGATTATTCAAGTGGTATTATCTTCAAGTGTCAATATTGAAAGGGTTTCAGTTTTTCGGTGGTGTAACATTAAAATATCAGTAAAGATAGGTTTACACTTCTAACAGGATATTATCTTAAAGAAAGAGTGTTAAAAGGTTTCAACTCATTATTTTCAAATATAAGTATTAGAAGGATTCGCTTTTTCCAAAGAGGGTTATATTCAAGAACAAGTGTAAAAAAGCCCAGTACTTACACTTAAGGATGGTATTCTCTGATAAGAAAAATCAGCCGAACAAAGCATGAAGAAGATAACTGAACAACATACTTTGATAGTTACGGTGTATTTCAACACATTACAAACTGGTCTTTCGTGTGAGTCCAGTATTTCACCCATAGAGCTCCTCCAACCAATGTGTTACAACTGTGCATAAATAGAATACACATTTCCAGCTTTTGCAGTTTCATTTTCAAAAGTGCAAGGTAAAATTTTTTCTCTTGTGTAAAATAACTACTTATTTAAAATTCAGTACCTGATGACGCCACGTTAACAGTGGCGGAACATTGTTTTTAAATCATGCATTTTTTTCTATCCTATTTTAGCTGTTTTTGAATTTTAAATTTTGTAGAGTGAGAGATACCTCCAACATTTATTTTTAACAACTACTTATATTTTTTATTGAGTCGACTAATCCTTTGTACTTTTATGTGAAACAATAGATACATATTTTTTAATAAACGCATTATTTCATCGTTCGTTCTTGTATACTGAAAAATAGTTTGTTTGTTTTTAGAGCAAAATAGCATTGAGCTACTGCTATATCCACCATGGAGAATCGAACCGCAGATTTTAGCGTCCCTAAACTTACCGCTGTCCTACCGGGGAAGAATAAAAAAAAGATAAGATCAGGCAACAAATACAAAAATGTACTAAGCTCCAAATGAAAGCTTTACGATTAATTAAACCTTACCGTTAAATACATATTGAAGACATACGACAAGAACTATGTGTTTAATTTTTAAGACATCATTTCAATTTTGATATACCTATATAAAACATTGAAAGTACAATTGAAGTTTACCTCGTATTCTTAAAATAAGTGTTGATAAGTTCTACGGTAATTTTGAGATTAACTAGGATCGTATGAATGTATACGAAGCATTTCTCAAGAGCATTCATCCCACATGTGTTTCTCCTTACGTAAAATGGTGTGGACGGACGTTATCCACAAAGTCATGACAAATACACTAGCACTTGACAGTACAAAGGTGTCCTACTGTGCGGTCACTATAATATGTAGCATTATTGGTACCACTTCGCAGGATACAGAGGTCGATAGGATAACCAGTTCTTACTACGCACACACAATATTCTTAATACCGTCATACATGTAACACTTCTGTATGAAAATGGAGTAGGACCTGGTAAGAAATTGTCTCCAACTGACTGCACGTCTGTTAACTGACTATAAGTTGAAGTTCGACTCACCTGTGAAGATAATATTAGACCACATGTTGTTGATTTAACGGACACGTTCTTAGTTCATCATTAAATCAACATGTATCTCGCTAAGTGTTTGACATATAGGCTGAGCTTTTAAAATCTGCTTATAATAGTCTTTACCCTGACACAGTAAACAAACTTGATTCAATTCATTTATGCTTCAGATATGCTATGGTCGCGGCGCCAGCATCGACATATAATGGATTTCTGCTTGAGTTCTAAATTAATGTTTTCCTCGTTGTTCAGGTGCCCAAGTAATTGTAATATTATTATCAAAATTGTTCTAAATTCTGCTAATACAACCTAAAACTCTTGAAGACAAAACAGGGAGAGAATTTATTTCACAAGAAATTATAACTGTAAAACAAATGTTTTAATAATCACAACGTTTCGGTCCATTACGCCTTTTCTGGCACTTTCAAAGTTTATAATCATTAGAAGAAAGACGTCCTGGACCGGAACATTAAAAAATCTATTTAACATATTTTGTGGTATACGTTTTTGTTTGATATTTATTTGCACCATAAATCTCTGCATCTTGAAACACTTGTGGCCACTTCGCAACAGCCTGCTGTAATTGGCTACCTTCCGATCGTTCGATGTCTCATTACATGATTGAAATAGCCAGATGTATTTTTTAAACTCTAGCCTTTGTTTATGAATAAATTAAAATTAAAGTGCTTTAATATTTATGTTTCATTTCAAAATGACAACTGAAATATGCTTGTGTGAATACGTTATATTACGTTGAATAAATTACCAGAACTTGCATAAAAAAAGAATTCGTGAAATAACTTATATTCGCTTTCAAACTAGACATAATATTCAATTTCTCTTACATCTAAACATCATATTTAATTGAAATTACAAACCAAACAAGTAAAGAGTTTGAGCAGTTTCATTGGCTGAAATAAGTTACCAGACAAAAATGAAAAGTTACCTGACATGGCTTTATTTAAACTCGAACGTTCCTCCTCTATTTTCACACTTGGAATTCTGTGACTACTAATGACAATAGTTAGAGAAACTTTAACTTCAGGTTCTTCACTACTGTTTATTCTTCTGTCAGTTGTCCGTGTATTGATCCTTAATTATTTCCATGTACCGCGAGAATTCTCATTATTGCTTTGACCTCGTGAAAAATAATACCATAGTTAACAATACTTCCTAAACAAATTTGTATGTCATTATGAATTAATTACATAACTATTTCATTAGTACCCCTCACCTATTACCAAGTTGAATCATCTTTCGCTGCAGTAATATTTTGTACTCATTATGATATAGAGTTATTATAGACTACACAAAATGTTGCCCTCATTATAGTATAGTGACTATAGACTATACAAAATGTTGTACTCATTATGATATAGAGTTATTATAGACTATACAAAATGTTCCCTCATTATAGTATAGTGACTATAGACTATACAAAATGTTGTACTCATTAGGGTATAGAGTGATTATAGACTATACACAATGTTGGCGTAATTATAGTATAGTGATTATAGACTATACAAAATGTTGGCGTAATTATAGTATAGTGACTATGGACTATACAAAATGTTGGCGTAATTATAGTATAGTGACTATGGACTATACAAAATGTTGGCCACATTAGGGTATAGAGTGATTATAGACAATACAAAATGTTGCCCTCATTATAGTATAGTGACTATAGACTATACAAAATGTTGGCGTAATTATAGTATAGTGAATATGGACTATACAAAATGTTGGGCTCATTATGGTATAGAGTGATTATAGACAATACAAAATGTTGGCGTCATTATGGTATAGTGACTATAGACTATACAAAATGTTGTCCTCATTATGGTATAGAGTGACTATAGACTATACAAAATGTTGTCCTCATTATGGTATAGAGTGACTATAGACTATACAAAATGTATAGTAATCTTGTTTCGTTATAACTCATTCTTCAAAGAGTATGGCGAATAACCGTTTAACATATGCCGACATGGTTTGCATATTCTCGGATAAATTTAATGTACTGTACCAAAAGCGATACTGAACAGTTACTTAAAACCACTTCTTTCTTTTTTCTCTTGACATTAAGTACTTTTGATAAAGGTTATTTTCTTCCACCAACTCATGTATAACTTTAGATTAAAAATGAATCATGGAGAGAAATTACGTTATAAACATCTTCAAACTAACAAGATTATGTTGCCTTTCATAGTTTATTATAGGCGTTAAACTTCCTATTGCCTTTCATAGTTTATTATAGGCGTTAAACTTCCTATTGCCTTTTATAGTTTATTATAGACGTTAAACTTCCTATTGCCTTTCATAGTTTATTATAGGCGTTAAACTTCCTATTTTGTTTCCTAAAAATATTATTTCTTCTTTTCGAAACATAAAAAAAAGAATCAAATTACCGTTAATGAAGACAGAATTGCATTCCTTAGTTAGTCACAAAATGTGATTATGTAGTATCTAAGCTTTTAATTATTTATTTTGGTGTCACACTTTAGCGCGTTCATAATTTCTTGGATTCTGTTGAAGCAATACCTGGGGCGTTCACCGCCCTTTGGCCTAAAGACAAGTTTTTAGTACATGTCAACTGTGAACAAACCCCTGTTGTCAGTTGCTGCTATTTTGCTCGAAGATTCTATCCAGAAGAACTAATTTAATTTCTCTTTGAGTTTGTTTCACGAAGGCAGTTTTATTCTCAAATCATGACAAGATATGAGTTGTTGTTGTTTTTTTCTCAAGTCTTAAAATGATCGGAATGACATTAGTAGTATTTTTAAACACCTTGGAACTTGTGACGGCTTCTCTTGTTTGACTATCATTCTGTGTTTCGAAAATCTTCGTTCAGGTAAGAGTTGAGGACATGGAATATTTCATGTATAAGAAAAGTTTTGGTTGAGTGTTGTCGTGCCGAAAGCGCCCTCGATGTCGCTTCCCTCGCTTGAACTATGTTGAAAGGCTAAAGCACTTCCACTATTAGTTCGCCTTGGAACAGAAATGTCTGATGAGGAGTATAACCACGGTCCGTTCCTACAGACAACAGAATGATTTGATAATGAGAGACATGGGAGAACCAAGAAATTGAATGAAGTTAGCAACCTTCAGTAAAAGAAGAAAGATAAATTTATCATTTCGGCAAAACCAATCAGTTCTCTATCCTTCCAAATCTTGTTAATTCTTCTATTTCAAACAGGGGTAATGACAACTGTACCTTAAATATACTTAATAGTTAACGTACACTCTAAAAAGACTGTATCCTCCTGATACACAGTAGTTAAAAATAATACTTAAGTGTATCTCCTTTTAAAGTTATTTGCAAGTAAATACGTTTTACAGATTGGGTCTTCACAAAGGAAGTTTATTGTGCTAGGCTTAGTTAAAGTGTTATATTTAGTTTGCTGTAGAATCAACAGTATGACACATCAAGTAATTGGACAAAATGATTCGATTGGACGATATGGTATGACTTAGGCTAGATGTTCAAACTACATTCTAAAACAAACCATTATTTGTTGTTCTAACTGCCATTTGGTTTCTAGATAATTAGCATTACTGGTTAAGAAATAACTGCTACTTTAAACTATTGCTCATTCTTGAACTATAACAGTTATTTGTAATTGATTAAAATTACACCCGGGCCCTGACATTAAAACGAAGAAAACACTTGAACTTCATTGTAAGTTGCTTCATTAGTAATAAAGAGTATCAACAGCTAACAAATGATAAAATATGGAAGTACCCAATTAAATAATTACAAATAAATACTTTACCTGTCAAAATCGACATTCTCTAACTCTGATAGACTACTGGCTCGATATCGAAGATCATACTCTCCTCCCAGCTGATGAAAAATAAAAACATGCAAAATGCTAGTTATTTATAAACATTTTCCCATTTACAGCTTAAAGGACTAGTTTTGAAGGTACCTATATTTATGTATTATGTCAGTGAGTTAGGAGAGACTGTGATTGACTGACCGGTCAACCTTATTTTTATCAACCTCTTTGACATAGAAACAACTGTGGGAATTGGCCTTCTGTTAGAGCTCTGTAATTCATAGCTGGGGAGCTGGGTGCGAATATTGCAAAATATTTCCCACATTTTGGGTTGTGGGTGCGTTATAAGAGTGACAGTCAATCTTTTAGCGTGGATGTTGGATGATAGGGTGCTGGTGACTGGCTGCCCTCCCTCTGGTCAGTAGTTCAAAATTAGAGACGGTAGCATATAGTCTTAGTAGCATTGCCATAAATACAAAATAATATATATAATCTACACGCTGTAATCTACATGCTACATGCTACAATAATTATAGATATGTAGAAGTTAAACACAGAAGCTTTCCTGTAATCCTTCCTAGTTAAAATGTACAATTAACCGACAAAAAGCTGACTTACTGATGTCAGTGTTGGATATGCGTTTGAATCCCAATTGGAGAAGATGTGAATGAAAGGTTAAAAATACGAACATGGGCTAAAAATAAATGTATGTTTGTTAAGTTTACCATTTTTATTTTACAATTCACCACACACTTACATTATAATGCAGATCTAAGTTATAAAACAACAAAACGTCATTATGCTCCTTTTGGAATTTATAACTGTTTTTTGTGGTATATTAATACATTATATATAGGTTAAACCGAAGCACTGCAAAAAACAAAACAAAAAACATACGTTATTCAATGGGACGAGTTCACTGTTTGTTTGCATTTCAGTGCCTTAAACGTTCTTGAGAAAGTTAACTTTACCTGTAAGCGTATGTTTACAATGAGACAATAGAGATCTTACATAGATACGTGTATAACAATAGTGCTATAAGTTCAAACACTACTACTCGTGTTGAATGTTAGGCCTCTACAGAACAACAGGTGCTTTCAGGTGAACTCAACTGTTTCTAGACAGAGAGAGAGCTATAGGGTTATATATAGGTAGAACGAAAGTTGTTTTATTTGAATTATATTAGTAGATACTAGCTGGAGTACCCGTCCCCTGGATGGAAGTTATGTAAATTCATGATTAATGAAAGGGTATCCCAGGACATCAAAAGTTGCTTCCCTTATATGTAATTTAAAAAAACACAAAAACGCTCATAAAAAGTGCAAAACACCAAATGTGAAACCGCAAGTTTGCATGTATCTTCGCATGGACCCAATGAACTTCCATACCAAATTTGGTGAGATCCATATACAAGGGGTGAAATAGTGGTAAAAAATTCAAAATGTCCATAAAAACCACATAATGCCAAACTGAAAATGTGTATGTACCCTCGTATTGATCTAATGAACCTCTACACCAATTTTGATAAAACTCCATCCACACCCTGCGAAGTAGTTACATGAACATACAACAGACAGTACTATTATACTTATATAGAATCTGATGAAGATGGTAAGTTGTACACAAAAGAAATATAAGTAAAAAATAAATAATACAATTATACCAGTAAATTTCAACATCATCAGTATCATTGAACAACACACCGAAAACGTTAAGGATGCCCAGGCAACAGACAAGAGTATTGACTTGTTCACCAGCTAAATACTGCTCTTGTGTATTAGACACCTCGAAGAACAAAATACTTTCAAGTTAGTAAAGAAAGGAAATTTTACAGTATGTTTGTTAACATCACGATCGCTAAGAATACCCAGAAGCGTTTCCCATCTAATGGTTACGGTGGTAATAAGTAACTTAATTAATAATCATAAGAAAATCATTCAGCTAAGCTTCGATGTTTTGTAGTTGACAGTGTAAATCTTGATTTGGTAAAGCAAAATAAAATAAGATATTATAGTAACCTCTAATTAATTATAGGCCTGACTTAATAAAATTTGTTTGTTTTGAATTTCGCGCAGAGCTACACGAGGACTATCTGCGCTAGCCATCCCTAATTTAGCAGTGTAAGACTAGAGGGAAGGCAGCTAGTCATCACCACCCACCGCCAACTCTTGGGCTACTCTTTTACCAACGAATAGTGGGATTGACCGTCACATTATAACGCCCCCACAGCTAAAAGGGCGAGCATGTTTGGTGCGACGGGGATTCGCAGATTACGAGTCGAGCGCCCTAACCACCTGACCATGCCGGGGCCCTTAACAAAATAGCACAAAGCGTATTTTGCTAATACTTCATTTCAATAATAAACTACTTTATCAAGAAAACTGAAATATTCTATAATACGATGTTTGAAAGACAGATAAAATAAATTGGGTGAAACATTATAAGCGCAGATTTAGTAATTTTTAATGTCAAATATTTAGTTACCTGAATGTTTGAAATCCGTCGAATTTTAGTATTTCATTATAAGAGCTCCTTTTAAGCTCCTGTTATTAACAGCTGTAAATTCCAATTTAAATTGTTTTTCAGTGTCGGACTGGACGTGGCTAATGGGTAGCGTGTCCGAGGGTTATTGAGGCGCTATGACATTGCTACAACAAAGGGCACTGTTCGATAGATAACACAAGATTTGACGGTGGGTGCTTTTGACTAGTTGTCTTTCCTCTAATCCATCATCTCAAAATTAAGGACAGCTATGCGTAGATAATCCATGTGTAGTTTTGTTTGTTTGTTTTAGCGCAAAGGTACAGATTGAGCTATCTGCGTTCTGGCCTCAGCAGGGAATCAAACCCCGGATTTTAGTGTTATAAGTCCATAAACTTATCGCTAACGCACCGGGAGACCCCCTTATGTAGCTTTGGGGCGAAAGTTCGACAAATAAACTTTTAGTGTCGTTTACCATTCTGATCAAAAGATGCACCAAAATAAACTTACAGAATGTTATGTACGACACTAATTTGTTACTGACTGAACATTGATATCGTCTATGTATTCTAGTAAAATTTCTCCAAAGTTGTTCGAAAGAAACAAAATTTAGTAGAACAAAAGTCCATCAAAATAGCAAGTGACATAAAGACCTTTGGCCCAGGATGATTAGCGTGCTGGGCTTCAGATTGTATAATCCAAGGATTGAGTACTATGATATATTTCTGATCACGTTCCGTAATATCAAGTATGCGCGCGTTATGAAAGTAATGGTCAGTCCTTTTATTCGGTTAAGCGTCGCAATACAAGCGGCGGGTGTTGATAAAAAGTTCCCCTCCCTCTGATCTGCAGTTCAAAATTAAGAACCGCTATGCAACAGCCTTGGGTCTTTTTTCAACTTTAGTATCGTCCACATGTGTCGTACACGTGGGGCGCCACCAGATATCTTAATTAATACCTTGTGTATTCACTAATGCTTTTTAATTATACGCGGACCTACAATGCTAGAAACCGGGTTTCGATACCCGTGGTGGGCAGAGCAGAGATAGCCCATTGTGTAGCTTTATGCATAACTTCAAACAAACAAAATTATACATATGATGATACAAAATATTAATTTTTCAACTTTCGTCCAAACTACACTTTGGAAATAGAAATTAGAATGTGAACAAATTTAACTGATAACATGGGGTTTTGATTTTTGTCATTTGCTAGTAATTATAGTTCACATAGAAAATGTTCTTATATATTTACGAATTATACAACAAGAAATTTTCTCACGTCGGTAAGTAGGCAGATTTCGATCAAACTTTTAGCTACACTAAAGTAACCATTTTTTTGGTCTGGATTACATTATTTATTAGTTGTGGTTTTAATATAGGCTTGATACATGCATTTATCACTATCATCTACAAAATAAGAGACAGCTGAGACCTGAAATCATATGATAAAACAGAGGTTTGGTTTGGTTTGAATTTCGCGCAAAGCTACACAAGGGCTATTTGCGCCCAGCCGTTCCTAATTTAGCAGTGATAGACTAAAGGCTTCGTCAGATCAATTTTTTTTTCTACTGGTAAACATGTAATCCAGTACTACCTATTCATGGTCGGACTGTCGGCGACTGAACCGGACCCCCCCCCCCCCCCTCTGGCTAGCCAGATGAGGAGGGTAGTGGATTCTTGCAAGACTAGAAACAAAACCTGTCAACGGCCATCCACAGACTCCCACTGCTCTGTGGGATGTTCTTGACTGAATAAAGATTACCATTATCATCGTCCAAGATGCCTTTAAGTCTAAAGCTAGAGAAGAAAGAGTGGAAGACATTTAAGTCCATATGGCTTGGGAATCTGGAATAAGAGGTGATATAGCAATAGAATGGGCATAAATGCACGACCTGATGTTTAGAAACACCTGGTTCAGTCAGCACAAACGTGGAAGAGCCCTGGAAACAGCGCTCGAAATCAGATCGACTTCATCTTGATAAAGAAAAGATTTGATAATGCTGTGTTAACATGCAGATCTTTACCAGGGGCTGATTGTAACAATGATCATAACCCAGTGCTTACTAAAATCAAATAAAGCTGAAGAAATAAAAAAGACAGTCAAAAATGCCAAGCTCAGCCTGACACTTCTGAAATGAAATCCAGCAGTCAACGCACATTTTGCAGTAGCAGTAAAGAACAAATTCAAGTTGCTAGAAGGATTAGGGGATGTTGAGAAACAATGTGAATTGTTGAAAGAATCTATGAACCGAGCAGCCACAGACACAATACAATCTGTTCAAAGAAGAAGTAATGAAAAATAGATGACAGATGATATTTTGAATCTAATGAACAAAAGAAGAGAAAACAGAAATAATA